ATTGATATGTTTCTGTCCTTGTTTTGTCTTCGTCTCCCTCTCGAAAAATGATACATCAAAAAGATAATGATTAAAAGAAAGTGAGAGAAAAAAAAAAGGAAGGATAGTGAATGAAATTACATGAAATGTCGTGGAGGCACTGGATCCTCAGTATTTTGTTTCTTTTTACCTTTTCTACGTCTTTGTCCTGTTAGGCTGTTACTGTCCTTTTAAATTACAGTCTCGCGAATCTTGTACTGTCCTTTTTATCTTATTTACATGCACAGATTGACCACTTCATTTCCAGAATTTTAACCCCTTTGGATTTTGGTTAATTTTTCACCCCCTTCGCAGGAACAAGGCGGCCATTGTTAAAGCAGGAACTGTTAACAAAATGCTTAAACTGATCGGGCCTGATGATTCCACAAATCCATCTATTTCAGAAGCCATAGTTGCGAATTTCCTAGGCTTGAGCGCATTAGACACCAATAAACTGGTAATTGGGTCATCGGGTGCAATTCCATTCCTGGTGAAGAACTTACATAACTCAGATCAGAAAAATAGCTCGCAAGTCAAGCAAGACGCTCTTCGTGCACTTTATAACCTTTCCATTTTCCCATCCAATGTTCCATTTATCTTAGAAACCAAGTTGATCCCATTTCTCCTAAAAATGATGGCAGACATGGAAGTAAGCGAAAGAGCCCTCTCTATTCTGAGCAATGTGGTATCGATCCCTGAAGGTCGAAAGGCCATCAGCACTTTCCCAGATTCATTCCCAATTCTGATTGATGTCTTAAATTGGGCTGATTCGCCAGGGTGCCAAGAGAAGGCCTCCTACATTTTAATGGTAATGGCACACAAATCATATAATGATAGGCAGGCAATGATTGAAGCCGGCGTTAAATCAGCTTTACTTGAACTGACCCTTCTGGGAAGTACATTGGCTCAGAAGAGGGCCTCAAGGATGTTGGAGTGTTTAAGGGTTGATAGAGGGAAACAGGTTTCGGATCATTTCAGTGGGAATTCATCTGCTCCGATTTGTGGCTCTTCATCTTCTTATACGAACCCGATTCTGGGTTCCGCAGAAGGTCATTTGGAAGGATTGGATGATTTGGTTAGCGAAGAGAAGAAGGCTGTGAAGCAATTGGTGCGGCAGAGTCTGCAAAACAACATGCGGAGAATTGTGAAGAGAGCGAATTTGCCTCAAGATTTTGTGCCTTCTGATCATTTCAAGTCGCTCTCATCAAGTTCCACCTCAAAAAGCTTGCCATTTTGAGTGCTAAATACCAGATTCTGAAGTCAGTCTTCCATCTATCTTGTGTAGTTTTGATTTTTTTTCTTTCTTTTTCTGGTGGGGGGTTGTAAATTTGCCTTTTTTGTTGACTATAAAGTTCAAATATCACAAGTTTATTTCAGATTTGTTTTATCAGTTACAACAAGAGTTAGCTTGCACAATCTTGCGATCACACTTAGTTCAGGTCTATGAAATCAGAACGTCCTAAATCTAGAACCCAAATGAAGAATAGAATTGGATTGCCAAGATATATAGGTTCGAGACCCTCCAGTTGGTAAAGGCTTGAATCTCTTGGTCATACTGACTTAGAGGTGACTTAGAAGTTTTAGGTTCAGACCTTCCGATAAACTTAGGAGAGCAAAGTTCCGACTCCCGGTTATTATAAAAATATATACATATGTATTGAATCTCTGGGTCATATTGGCTTAGAGGTGACTTAGAAGTTTTAGGTTCAGACCTTCCGATAAGCTTAGGAGAGCAAAGTTCCGATTCCCGGTTATTATAAAAATATATACATATGTAGGTTCGATTCGTGGGATTTTCTACCGTCCAGTACCAGTCGTTTGTCCTAGAATCTGCAAAACTCTGTGGATGATGTAGTGGAAGGCTCTTAGATTTTTCGAGATCCAAGTATTCTCAATTAAATTGCTGGTACCCTTTGTCTCTCCTACTGGCCACAGTCGAATTTAATATTCACTATTTCTTTTTCAAACGTTGTCGGTCATTTCTTCCCTCCTAGAAAGAAGAAATCTGAAAAAGTCATTACTTATTATCTATTTTTTTCTCCTCGAAATTGGAAGATGTCGTTGAAACTGGGACTGCCCACTGCCTCCTCCTATCTCGGAATCTTTTACTTTTGATTTCCTAACATGTGGCTCTGTCATATTTTATTATACATTTTTGCATCTTTCATTCTTATAGTGCTCCGACTGTCCTAGAATCGCTAATCTAAGCTTAGTTAAGACACCTATCTCTGATAAAAAAGTCGTGAGAATTCGAATTCTCACCTCCACATATTGTATTACTCGGTAAACCAAAGAAATTAAACACAACACTCAAAACTCAGCGACCAAATTTATAATCTAACCATATATATTATATTGTATTGTATTTAAATTTATTTCTGCAAAATTAGTGATTTGATGAAGAAGCACTTCTAATACTACAAATGGATGAAGATCTTGCCAAGCTATTTTATTTTGTGCTGTTTGCAGATCTTGCTATGCCACAAGGTTGGTGTCTGGAGCTGGCCGTGAAAGGATAAAAAAATACCTGAGCACTCATCTCCACTGCACGAGGTAGATGAATGCATTTATAGCACCAACTTTACTTCTCTGTCAACTGCCATATATTTTGTAATTTAATGCCTCTCCCTCTCTTTACTGTGCTGCTTTTAAGGCTTCTTTTGACTGATTTTCTCTTCATTTTGTTTTTGGCATTCAGTATCTGTAAATATCTCCATCTTTTGCATATATGTGTATATATATTATAGCCCATATCCTTCGTCAACGTCTTTGTCGTATTCAATCTAACCAATAGGGGCTGGTGATACAGCGTAGTGTCCTTTAATTTATCTGATTCCCTGTGTAAATTATTAACCATGAACAGAACTCACCTACTCACGTTTATTATGTTCTTATGTGGTCTAGTTTTGTCGATTTAGGGTTAAATTATAAGTTTTATCTTTTGTGATTTGGACGTAGTTTCAATTTAATTTATATGCTTTGAGTTTTGATTCAATTTGGTCTAAAGTTCAATTTAGTCCATATAGTTTGACAAACTGTCTTGTTGTTATCGACCCATTTTTTAAGTGCCAGCAAGACAATATTTTTTATTTGGCTAATGGTGTTAATTAGGTGGTTACAGAGTACAAAATAGAAGGAGATAAGTAGAATTTTTTTTTAGTTGGGAGTTAGAGCTTTGCTCCCCTGTACCCAGGGACCTCTGCACCTGCCCCAAGGCTCGGACCCGGTATTAAGGTCACTAGAAAGTTCGAACTTGAGACCTCTAAACCAATATGACCAAGAGATTCCAAACCATTTCCAACTGGACTACTCTTGAAGGTGATAAGCAGATCTTTTGAGTGAGTAAAAAGACAGGTTTAAAACTATACCAAAACTAGCTTAAACCATAGGTCCAAATCCTAAGGGGCCATATTTGCAAATTACCCATTCATGTATTTATATTTTGTTATATAAATAAGTAGATCCTGCCAAGTTTTCCTTTTTTGTATTACATTATTGCATGGACCCAAGAGATTACAGGCTACAGCTGTACTAAAATGTAGTAGTATAACATTAACAGTGCTTCTTTTAATGCAGTGAACTGCTCTTTATAGATTTGGCTGCAACCCTCTTCATCCATTATTTTCCTTCAACTTTTGTTTCCCCAATATTTAGGTATATTTACTAACATCAGCTGTTCCACACATTTTACAATTTTTTGGTGTTTAAGCCAAAAGTAGCTGGCTTGGGCAATAAGTATGTTTGGGAATGATCTGAAAATGACTGGATAGTGAATAGCCAACAATAACTCCTATGTTGTTTACAATAATACATTCCATACTGCTTCTTGTTCTTGTATTGGACTTTTCTCTTTGGCTGAAAACAACTCAACTGTCTCATTCTTTTGATTGTGAAGTTAATCTGTGGAGTAATGAGTGTTATGGGCTGGTGGTTGTGTTCTTTATGACTCTCTTATCTTGTGCAAAGAAAAAGGGGAAATCACTTTCAGTATTAGAAACCGTAGCTGGCGCCTTAGACATTAGATTTAAGAATAATTGATTTTCAAAATCACCATTAAATGATACCTTAAAAATCAATTTTGAGTGATTTTATGTTTTTCTAAAATTAATTTTTTAATTTGTCAAACATGATCGGTGGAAATAGAGTGATTTTGGCAATAGCAAAAGTGATTTTGTCGTGCCAAAATCACTCTCAAACACACCCTTAGTTCGTCCGAGGTGACAGAGACAGCGTGGGCTGTGATTTTGTGAAAAAAGTTAAGGATGTTTGATTCATTGTGTTGGTGTCAGCTTTATATTATGGTGAGAATTGTGTTGGTTTTTGATAATTGTTGTGGAGGTAGCTCTGAATTTTGGAGGCAGGAAGATGGAATTATTGTTCTTTGTGGAATCATTGAGGGAATGATGGAGATTGCAAGAAGATTGGCCATTCACGTCACAACGTGGGGCGTGGTAAAGTTTCTCCTCTCCTTTTTGGTTTTCTTCTTTTCTCCTAATCATGTCATGTCACGTCTTCATTGGGCCACTATTTTTCATGTCTTGATATGATTTTTTTTTCTTTAAATACATACTTCTAATTTTTGTTTATGTTAATCTCTAGGTCTTCAAACTTTGGTTTATTTTATTCGTTATTTTGGTCCTAATTTTAACACACATTTTATACATAATGGAAATCATTTTAATACAATTTTACTATATTTCAAAAAATTTAGTGGGTGAAATATCATGTTAAAATTATTATCTAAAGAGATGAAATGAAAAGATCAAAATAGGTCCATTTATAAAAACACCGTTAGTATTTGACCTTTTATGTACTTATTATTATTGTTCAATTAAAATATCTTTCCACTAACACTTAGATTTATGGTATTATTTTATTTTATTGTAGGGATTTTTTTTAGGGATAGCTCAATAGAGTTTGAATCTTCCTAGTTCCTAACCTTAAAACTACTGAATTAAAAATTCAAGTAATACGTGAAATTGACGAACTAAGGCAATGTTAATTATTTTACATAAATTTAATTTGAGTAATCAAAAAGTATCCTCTTATGATGATATGATAATGGGAACATTTAATAATCAAATAGGAAAAAACTTGACTCCTTTAAAGTGAAGGAGGAACTTCCTCCTTAATACCATTAAATATTTGTTCCTCAATATAATCCTCTTTGATAATTATTCTGTTTTTTATTCTTTATTTTAAAAAGTTATGCTAACTCCTTCCTGCATATGTTTCTTGGTCTTGGCTTTTAAAAATGTTTTCAAAATCAAAAGTCAAAATTTAAAAACTAAAAGAAAAAAGTAGTAATCTTTAAAAATTAGTTTTTTTTTTCAAATTTGGCAAGAGTTCAAAAAAAGGTAAAAAAAAATAGGAAACAATGGTTTGTTGGGTTGTGGGAATTTTGGTGGAAGAATGGCTTTGGAAAGATCAAAGATTCGATTTAGATTTTAGATTTAACTGGGCCTCCAAGTGAATTGGGCCTCATGGATTCAGAAGTCCATTTTCATTAATTTTCAGTTTTCCCCCGAGTTGAACTGAATTACCATCCCTATTTAGAATAGCAGCAATCTATGAACTTCTTCATCGACAGTTTTAAGTAATCAGCTCAACACGTACCAGTCTGTTACTCAACATTAACATTAAAAAGATCTAGTAGCCTAACTTTCAAAGTTAATTAATACAACTCTTATCTCACCAAAATGTTTCTACTTTGTCTCGGTAACGGGCAGGTAAACGCCTTCTGCAGCCAACCACACATTGTCAGCGCGCTTTTCTCGCACTCCACACACCTGTGATTTGTGAAGCCATACAAAATGGTAAGCCAAAACCATTGCTACAATGTTTATATCTTCTGATTATTGACCACATTATTTGTTCTTGTTCTTGTTCTTACCTCCTGCTGCCCCCCAGCTATGCGGCTGTACTTCTTGTCGTGGCTGTGCAGGTAGCCACCAGTATCGATGTGCTGGAGTCGAATTTTCTGTTCTTGCTTCCATGTCTTCCCACTCCCTTCGATCATAAGTCTGTACAGAACTCGGAGGTGAGCAACCACCTCGAATTAAGATATGTAATATACATTTTCTGAAAAAATTTAAGAGATGAATAATCTCACCTCCAGTAATCACCAGTGTCAGAATCAGAATCTCCACCAAAGCAACTAACCTGCAGCAAGCAGTCTGGAACCATCAGCAAGCATGGAAACCATGAACAGAATTTGGAAGCAAAATTCTCTCCCACAAACATGCAACGAAGTACAGCCAAAACAAGTCACATAGCGATCATCTCATCATCGTGACTAGGGAAACTTATATACCGGTCAAGTCATAATAGAAAAAATCGCCATCACGAAGAACTTGTGGATGAAAAGGAGACATTCATAAACTGACGTTTCAGGGGAAATAGCAAGGAATGGTATTGCATTTTTTGTATAATATTGAGGCTAAGTGCCAAGAAATCATCTTTGATTGATGGCTAAATTCAATAATAGAATCTATACACTGGAAGACAAACGTTTCTAATAAAAGACTAGCATACTCTTAACAAGCAATCTTTGGATTTTGAGAGTACCAGAAATTCAGTACATCTAAATGAACTGAACATTCTCCAAACAGAGAAGCACATATTGATTTCTACAATATCAAGCATGTAGGCTACATTATGGCTTCCATTAGTAACTAATAAGTGGATTTCCATGAATCTAATTACAAATAATATGCATGACAACCAGATTCATTTTCTTCATCCACTTTACACAAACAATGTTGGGGTCAATGAATACGCCTAAATAAAGGCAATGTTGAACTTTCTGTATGCATTCAATCATCACGAAGTAAGAACAAAAGCAACCAAAGAAATTCAATACATAGAGATCATCACAGCAGGGAGCAGACGATACAAATAGATGCAATGCAATCATTATATGATTATGAGATTATCCAGTCCTCAAAAAAAAATGCATAAACTGAATTTCATAGTCCAATAACCTCCAGATTTCCCGATATTGGGGATGCATGCAAGTGGCTGTGCAGCCATTTCCTTGTCCTCATGTGTTGCAATCTGATAATTGTCCCACTTTTAATGGTGTCACCCTGTTTTGCACCGATCCCTGGCTGAGGTCTTACTATCTGCCAATGGTAAACTCGTTACAATTGCAAACTAAGACAAAAATCAAAGAGGGAGAAATAACAGATTACAGTTTTTGTTCAGCACAGAAATAAGAACGCAAGGGGTAGAGAGATTTACCCAATAGCTATTGGAATCGTCAACATTTGGGAACCCGGTGACCGACTGTTGCCCACTGCCAGAACCATAAGGCACGTCGTGAGAATGCAAACGGAATTTGGTTTTCTCGTGCATTAGCTTTATAACTGACCCGTACGTAATCTATCAAAGAAACAAAACACCGATCAAAATACGACGTTGAAAAGTTTTGAGTGATTTGAGTGTATTCCATCTGCTTCGTACATTTAAGCCCAAATTAGAAGCAACATTGTCGTTTTCCTCATTCATTAATCACTACATCTTCCTAATTCGTTTCATTTGATCATTTCTTCGCCGAGCAGCTACATAATAATAATCTAAACTTCTGATCAGATAATCCAGCGTAACAAAAAAAGGTGAAGAGATTCAAACCTCAACGCCCTCGGAGGACGCAGCAGAGGCGGACGAGAGAGAGCCACGGTCGAGATCCAGACCGAGGAAGAGAAAAAGCGCAAGAGCGAAGAAGCCGATGGCCATGACGAAAAGCAAGCCGATGAACCAGTTTCGCTGCCAGAAAGGCAAATCGCAATGCGACGGCGGAACTCTCTCTCTGTAGACGATCCTCGTCGGCCCCGGCGACGGAGGAGAAGAGGAAGACGAAGGTTTTCTCCGAGACAGACCAGATGACCCTGACGAAGCCACGGTTGATCGGAAGAACTCGCCAAAACGAACGACGTCAAAACAGGAAGACGAAGAACAAGAAGAAGAACCAGCGATTTGATCCGATCGGTGGAATTGGATTTAAGAATTAATCGAATTTTTTTGTTTGTGAAGTCGCGGAAATTAGAGTAAATCGGGGTTTCGGCTTGGTTCTGGTGACACGTAACGAGACTCTGACTGGACGAATAGGAACTCTACACGTGGTGTTTGAACGAGGTGGATGGTTTTTATTGGATGCAGCTGAGTCTTCTCTCCGGTCTCCGTGGCCGTGCTTTGGTCAATACTGACGTGGACTCCGTTTCGGGCGACTTCGTTAATTAGGAGTTTAGGACATCAAATAAATATTAATTTTTATTAATTCTTCTTCTTTTCTAAGGAATAAAATGTGTGTTTTTTTTTTGGTAGAATAAATTTGGGACGGAGATCAAATTTTCTTAACCACTTAGGTACGCTCAAATTGGTAATGTACGTTTTTTTTTCTAATAATATATCATTGTATTTTTTATATATACAATCATACGGCATAACTTGATGATGGTGGGCATTGCTGAGAGTTATTTTGTATATCCAAGTCTTTTTAAACTATTTGTATATTATTTCAAATGAAGGTAATTTTTATAATTATGAAAATAAGTTTTGTTTATGAAAAAAAAAACTTTCAAATATGTCTCGGAGTGTTTGGATTTCCACTACTCCAAATCTTTTGGATCCTCGAATTTTCTCTTTTTTTTTTTATTTAGAGTGTTAGGTAATTAAGAGATATTTGAACCAATTTGATTTTTGATTATTTAATATTTTTTTGTAATCAAAAGTTGGTGATTACCTATAATATCCAGCTTACTAGCTAAGTGAGTGAAAGACAAAAATTGGACGACCATTAACTATAAAAATAAAAAATAAAACAACTGTTATTATATCATTTATCTATCTTATTTATAAAAAATTTATTGGTGGTCATCAAGAGACATACTAGTAAAAACTATTATTCTTTTTCAATAATCAACCTAAAGTTGATTATCTTCTTTTAAAGTTGTTGATCAAACCATTTTATAATTATTATTTTATTTTATGATAATTTGACTTTGTAACCCAAACAATGTCGGCATTACGATTAAAATCACTTATTGTAATTTGATATATTTAACATTCTTAAAACTTAGATCGATAATTATTAATATGAATTTAATTCAACTAGTTAGTAATAATATCTGTATCATGTTTAAAAAGAAAGATGAATAATTATAAAACAATGTTCCTTCTCAAAGCGAAGTCTCTGGCCGACTCAAATGGATTTGAGGAAAAACAATGGAGAACTCAAATGGGAAGCTCATGGCGCAAGTTCCCGATATAGAGCTTCACTTCTAGATCTTCCTCCGTCTTCATGAGCCGATTCGTCTTCTCTTGATCATCGTCATTTGATTTCTGGTTAGTGTTCCTCTTTTGGTCTGTTCCGAGCATTCGACGAAAGATTTTGCCTATTCTCACGTCTTATTTGTATGATCGAACGATTTCTCTGTATGCGATGGTTTGACTACGGCAACATCTTGATCCATCGCCTTCTTTGTTATGGCGTTCTGTTTTTGCCCTAGTTCGTAGCCACAAGAAGCGACGAAATGTAACATTTCACAATTCACGAAGTCGGACGAACAAATTCAATGCATATTTCTGATTCCGATGATGCGATGCCTTAATTCAAATTATTAAAAAAATCCAAAGCCGACTCTACAATCTACATCAAGAACTCAAACTGGCTCTTCGTCTGCAGCTAGCGGCGGTTCAGTTTTCAAATACTGATTTGGGTAAAACCAGGCATTAAGCCGCAGGTGTTGTGTTTATTTTCCTGCATTTCTACTGAAATAATTGGCTTCTGAAACTCATTCAACAGATTCAGGCTTCCATGGCACTGTAAGCTTAGCGAAGGAGAATGGTGGTGGAAAATCCATAACGGCAAGAGCAGATTGAAAGCGATGGTGAATGAAGCCTACAAGACGATGATCCAAATAAGGAAAGTTTAGAAAAATACAGAAAGATCCATTATAGTTCAATTTCATATGCAGGATCTTTTAAAGGCGAAGAAAATTACTAAGTCTGCAATATTTTAAACTTTTTCGAGACAACTCTTTTTAAATTCGACACTCTGGTTGCTCGTTTCCGATATTTTTTTTTTTTTACGCCGTATAAATAAATCTTGATTCGATATTATCAAATATGTAAATAAATATTCTAAGAATAAGATATTAACTTTTACATTTTTTGATAGACGCACTGGATTTGTTTAATAGGAGTTAACAAGCGAATTTATGCGTCAGCTCTTAAAAAGTACTGAAACTCGGAAATCCAAACACCAAAAAATATAACGATTAATTGCTTTGTTTTTTTTTCAACTCACGACAGTTATGGATTTTTTTTTATTTTATTTGTTGTTTTTTTTATACTAAATAATATGAATGAATTTATTTTTCTCTTTTTGAAAAAACCTGCTTCTATGATTTTTCGAGTGTTATCGGTAGAGGTGATAAAAAGTAATGATTCTTGTCCAGTTATTAGTTGCTAATATGAATATAACTTAACTGATTAAGGTATATATTATTGATTAAAATGTCGAAAGTTCGAATCATAGCTCCTACGTGTTATTGATTTTAAAAGAAAAAAACGGCAAGCTACTTGTGGAGTTAAGTTGAGGTAACTTATAATAACTAATTTTGTTTACTCCCCTTGTTGACATAAGACATTGAAGTATCGTTGTTTTTTTTCTTGTTATCATGCAAAAGAAACAAAATGAAAACACTGAACGCCACTAATTTTAACATAATGTGTGAAAATATGACAATTTTTAGTAAAAATAAAAAGCGTGCAAGTATGACAATTCAACGTAGTCAAACTAAGAATATTAAATAATCATAGTGTACATACTAATGTGAACTGGATAAATTTATGAGTCTGGTTAATTAAATCGCTCCATAACCCCTCTCAACCCGACAACAAACACGATCAACTTTATTCAACTATTAATGCACTAAACATATGTAAAACACGTGAACGAGACGTATTTATGAATTGAATAATTAAATCGGTCCAAAACATATCTTAATTCGATAACGAACACGATCTAACAGAATCGATTATTTATAATTAAATACTATATATAGATTACTTCCATATATCCATACCATAATCACGAAGACGATCAAAACAATCATATTTCCAATTTCAACAATTGAAGAACACACAAGACTTGAAGCTCTAAAATGGAAAAAGAAAGCCCAAGATAGTCAAAGCCCATTTGACGAGGTCAATGGCGCGGCACAAGAAGGGCTTCTCCTCCGGCCCCCATTTTTGTGTATCGAGAGCATCCATAGACTGTTACAGACGAGTAATGTAAGAAATTTGATCGTCTTCTCTGTTGGGATGAGGCTGATCTGAGTAAAATTCTCCAGCTTCATCATCCATTTACCGCGTTTCTGTTCAACTTCGTACAGGAAACTTATCAGTTCTCTTCTCACCTCCGAAATCCCACTCTCTTGCGCGATTAGCGCCCCTTTCTCTCTCTCTCTTGACACCGGATTTTACTCTCTCTCCTAACTCCAGTTGTGGGTTCCGCCAGATTTCCGATAATTCATCTGTCCCGAGATCCGGCGGTCTTCGGTAATTCTCGTGTTATTCTCTCCCGCGGCGCCGCATTATTGTCATTATTATTATTTTTTATAAGTGAAGTCTGTTTAGTTCTCCATCTCAGCTGGTTTTATGAAGTGGTGGATGATCTTTAGTTTTTATTTTTATTTTTTGTATCTTTCTTCTGAATGTTGCTGATGGGGTTGTTTAGAATTTATGAATTTGTTTCTGGGTCGTGTTGTTGGGTTGGGAAATGTGTGTTAGGTCTTCTGGGTGGTGATGAAAATGATCGTTTTTCTTTTGCGGAGAATTCATCGTCGTTATGGCAGTGGCATTTGGTGGTCATACGTTCGTTCTTTTCGTATTTGCTGGGATTGAACATGCTCTGCAGCATTCCTTTTCAGCTCATGTAGAAATCTTTGCTTCGTCATTTATTTAAAATTTTTCTGGGTTTGAGCGCTGCAGGTACGTACGTATATTCGAGAAATCGTTTATCGCGTTTCATACTGTAAATTTAATATTGTTCTGGTTTATACTGTAGAATTCTTCTGTGATTTTATGTCTGGTTTGATTTTTTCATGGTTAATGCATGTATAGGGCAACTGTGGACGTAGGATTTTATCAGGTGTTTTTAATGGTTCAAAAGTTTGTTTCATACTAAAGCGAACCCTAGAATTAAGAACTTTTTGACCATTTCAGACCACAATTGTATATTTTCTGCTAAAGATTTTGTGTCTGCAACTATTCTTACTGTCGTATCGGTATCTGAATTGTATATTTTCAGCTGAAGATTCTGCATCTGCAACTATTCTTACTGTTCTATTGGTATTTGATAATTGCAGTCAGTTATAACCTCATCTAGAGGGATTTGTTTCTTTATTTTTTCATTTATACAAATTCTTTTGTGTTATTACTATTTATTATTGTATGTTAAGTTACTAACGTGATGGGTTCTTCCCTCTCGTGTGCAGAGGATGAGTAGCCTGGTTGAGAGGCTTCGTGTTAGATCAGAACGAAGGCCAATTTATAATCTTGATGAGTCAGATGACGAATTTGATTATAAGCATAAAAAACCTGGCTCGTTGCAGGAGAATTTTGAAAAGTTAGTGAGAGATGACAAGGTTTGTTTTCTTTATTTACTTTTTTAATCAAGGCGTACATTTTCTGTCATGTTTCCATATGATGGTTAAATAAATAGTTTTACCTGCTTATTAGTTTTGTGTAAATTGAGCTTTTAAAGATCTCTCTTAATTTCATGTCAACTACCTGTGAGTGAGCCGGATGAAAATATGGCTGCTTTTAGAAACCATCCGTTTACGTAGTGCCAATAGTGAATAGCATAGACTTGTTCTATTTCATCCCCTATCATACCCCAACCCCATGCAGAATCACATTTTCTGTGTAGGTGGTACAAATTTACATTGAAGGGATGCTAACCTTTTAATAACCGTAAAAGAAAAAGAAAAGGAATATATTAAGTCCATTCTTATAAA